GGGCGCGGGAAGGGGCAGTGAGAAATCTTCTCCCCTGCCCATGTACAAGTGCAAGCTGGTAGTAGCAAGTGCTAGGAATAACCCCTTACGTCGTTTTCAACTATGCAGGCCCGTAGCAAGGCACCCGAGAAGGCTGAATATCCTTCACCGGACTACAGACTAGCAATTGGCTTCCTTGGTATGTCATCGTCTTTCCATCCGTCAACTCTTTTCTTTCTCCTGCTTAGTCCTTTTTGCCAGTACAATCTGCCTGGAAAATGTGAGAAATGAAAATCAAAGAGAATATGGAGGGAGAGGAGAGACAAGAGAGAGTGGGCACACACAGAAAGAGGGGTTTAGTCCAAGGGACTTCATTCTCATGAGATTGCTGAACATAATGTATTATCAATAGGTCTCACACACACACACACACACACACCGCCGTCTCCTGCTCGGTATGGTCTTGAATGGAAAGACACTACTGAGCAAGATGGGTCATGTCTTTTCCTTGGGGCAAGAATCCTGGTTCGGCCTGATGGCTCACTTCGCATTGGCGTATTTGATAAGGCTGAGACCTGGACGTTCCCTGTCATACGTTATCCCAGTGCTTCCTCCAACGCTCCGGCTCATCAGCCTGCAGGTGTGCTCACGGGACAACTAACGAGATTTAAACATATATGTAACAATACCACAGACTTCAAAGCAGCAGTGACTTCCCTGACATGACGTATGCTTGCCAGGGGCCATCCTCCCAGTGTCCTGGCTAGTGGCTGGACTGCATATGAGCGTGGCCGACAACGCCGGCTACCAACTCATGTCACACGACTTTCGAACTGGTTTCGCCGAATGGTTCGCTGGGCAATTGCTCACCCACTCCCGAAAGCTGATTCAGTGCCCAGGTCCTCCGCCCAACTGCACACAAGAGACCACCCCTCATCGCCTGACACCAATGTTGACCACAGCCAGCATCAGCCCTCCGCACAATCAAATGCAGACCGCGCGCTCCATCACTGTTATCCATGCTGCAATGGCAGATGCTAATGTCGATATGCCAACTCAGCCATAGATCATGCCAGCCGCAGTAAACAATGTGAACGTTACCGAAATGGCAGTAAGGGATGAAGGTCAGCATCCTACCAATACAGCGACTGTTGTTGCTGCTGCGGCTGCTGAAGGTACACCTCCTCCTCTGCCACTGCTGCCACCGCCGCCTCCACCACCACCACCACCACCACGGCCATCACTGCCATCACTGCCATCATTATCAGCACCACCACCACCATCATCAGGGCCACCCCCACCGACGTCCTCTGTTGCAGCATCCTCTCAGTCATCTGCATCATCTTCTTCTTCCTCTTCCCCTACTTCTTCCTCTACTTCCTCATCATCGACCTCATCATCAATGCACTCATGGTCAGATCGGCCGTCACGAAGGCCCTGTCGGCCGAGGTATCCGTTGTTAGATCGATCGTTACAGATGCCTCTTCGGCGGAGACATTCCCCGTCTCCACAACAGCCTCCAAGACAGCGGCCTCGTTTGTCCTTGAATGGCATGAGCACCGCACCACCTGCAGGGGCTCCGACGACATGCTCGCAACCGTACGGAACGACATCGTCGCTTTCAGTATACACTAGCGAGGAATAGTGCACATCGAGTCCGATGCCCGCTATGTGGCGATGATTTCTTCAGTACTGCAGGCTTATGAGTGCACCAGACACGAGGTGCAACTACTTGTGCAGCGTTTGCACGACTAGCAGCGACCCTGAGCACAATTGAGGCTGATCAGCTTCCGATTCTCACATCTGGTCCACCCAGTTCTCACCCACCTGACCCGCCCCTCTCTCATCCACCTAGCCCCACTCGCTCCCCTGCCCCAAATGGCAATGACCCGTCTCCTGATTACCTGATGGAGCCCCCGGTTGAAGATCATCTCTCTCTGGAGCCCATACCGGAGCCAATTGGTCAAGACCACAACGAGTCTCCGCCACCTGTGCAACCTGCAAAATCGAATGAGGATCCCCCTGCCATGAATGGATCCCCCACACAACCTGCGGAATCAGACAATGTCATAGTGCTACAGCAAGGGCGCTGTGCGTACTATGCCATTAATATATGTCTCCTTGCTTACAATTTGTAATCCTTATACGGTTGCTGATTTCGCAGACGTTGTTCGCTGGATAGAAGAAGAGCACTGTGCCGTCTGCCCAGAGGACGACAGCGCTGCGCCTGGGGTGAACATAGAAGTCCTGGTTATGACATTTATGGGTAGGCGACTGCAATTCCAGCCTGCTCCGCAAAACCACGAGCCAGGCACGGATCCCAATATTTGGGCATATATTTTATATCGTCCAGGTCACTTCAGTGCTCTTATCTTTGCAGATAATTCATGGACCCTATGGAACAATGGCGGTAGGGTGCACACAGTGGGAAATATTAACTCCTATCACCAAATGCTGGAGGGTCACTCAGTCTGGCTCATCCATCAGGAACAGTATGTCGATGAGCGTTTGCAAGCACTGCACCCTCCAGAGAGCAATCCGGCTGATTCTACCACAAACAGTGAAAGGACCTCTCCACAGGATGATGGCTGTGCCCTCCCGTTGTGTCGTCGCACTGGTGCAGTTCAGTTGGCAGGTACACGACATAGCCTCTGCTCCGAGCACTATAAAGGGGTGGTCGCTGCTAGCCTCTCACACGAAAATTGTGATCTCCTGTCCTGTGCTCATCCCCCCCACCCCCTGATTACTTGCCGAGCATGCCGTTGTGGCCTTGATCTGCCATGGTTAAATAACTGTGCACATCAGCCTTCCATACTAGTGACATGTCAGCAACATGCCTTGTGTCGTCAGTGCTTCCAGGAAGCTGTCATAGAAAGTATGTGTCTTTACTGCGTGGACTATCCCCAGTGCCATCACCCTCCACATCCTCTCCTAGCATGTCCCACATGCGGTATTGGTCATACACCTACGGCAACCGATGACGGATCTCCCTCTTTCTTGCCAGACGAATGACGAACACAGCAGTCCGAGGAGATAAATAGACTTCTATATGAACCACCGGCAGAGCAATGTGCTCATAGTTTATCACCACCAGGGCAAGCTGTTGCGGATTATATCCTGCAGCAGCTGAACGCCCTTGCGTTGGACCGATCCTCCCTGTCGTCGTCTGCCCATACAGAAGGAACACATACTGAGGAAGCCCAAGAAAGATGCTCCATGCCGTTTTGTGATGACCTGCCGGAGATTCAACTAGCATGTGGTTCGCATGCCTTGTGCCGTGAGGATTATGAAGGTATAGTCCATGCGAGTTTT